CCCACGGGGTACGCTTGGCCTGCGCCCGGGCCGACCGGGCCGTGGTACCACTCCCCGACGTTCTTCCTGTGGCTGATGAGGCACCGACTCGGTTTCCTCTGTCTCGGGCGAGCTGGAGCCCTTCCGCGCGGCCGTGCCCGTGGCCCGGCCCGGCTTGGCTTGGCTCTGCAGGGAGAGGAAATGTCACTGAGGATCAAAGAGGGTCAGGGCTGAGCCTCAGCGTTTCCTCTCGCACGGTGACTGCGCTTCTTGGGCCTTTAGAAACACTCCTCAGGTGGGGCAAGGTGCAGGCTATAGCTGTTTCTGTTTCTTGAGAGAGAGCTCTTGCGGCTGAGAAACGAGCGTGGCGATGAGCAGCGGCGGGCAGGGCTGTCTGTGCTCGCGGACACATCTCTTCACGGAGCCTGGCTCGGTGGGGCTGTGTAACGAGCAGGGAAAGGGAGAGCTGTTAAGGAACCCCTAATCCATGTACTGTTTTTGCTGAACCGTGTTTCCTGTTTTGGACCACGGATGTCTCTGTGAGCTGCTGTGCTTTATCCAGGTTCTCAAACACTGAGCTATTTATGCTGCAAGGCTTTTGAAATATAGTTGTCTTTTTTGTGTGCTTTGCTAATGTCTCTGCACCTTTATTGTGTTAACGTTAACACTAGTCTTTAGACATTGTTCTCATGATTAATGGTTGGTTTACTCGGCAAATAAAACAAGTTAACTGGAGCTTTATTTAAAAAAATAAAATTACTATTCCAAAATCCATTGAACCTGAGGCGTGTTCTTTCAGACTGGGTTCGGATCGCAAAAGTCGGCAAGCATTGTGGTTGATAAACAGCTGCTGTTCAGAGAATGAGTGTTAAGATTTCAGCTGTTATGGCCTCTGCTACAGTGACCTTGAGTTCCAGTCTAGAGTTGAAAATGAGCTCAGAACTAATGTACCTTTTTCTTACATGGCCTAGCCTATTGCATAATGAAATAATAACTTTTTTATTACTAAGTTGCATTGTAGTTTAATAACAAAACTGCTGAAATTGAAGTGACAGTGCATAATACATTAAAAGTTATAAGCTGATTGTGATTTGTACTTCCTACAGGTTTGGGGGGGTGGGTATGGTCCTGGGTGTCTCACATGTGAAACGTAACTGCTCCCTGGTAAGTTAGTTATATGATCACAAAGTTACACCTCAGTGCCTGTTTTAAATTGGAGTACCAAATATTTTTATCTTATTATTCTAGGGAAATTTTAATTGAACCTCTTGTCTTTTTTCTTAACGGATATTTCCACCCCCCATACCTCTCATCAAGTGCCCTCATCTCAGTTCCTGTCAAAATACTTAGACTGCTGCATGTGTATGTACACACCCACTTGAATCTGCATACCTCAGCTATCTCAATAAAAAGGCAAGAAGAACGTGGTATTTATAAAGGAAATCAGTAAAACACAGACCTAAGCAATGTGGCGTTTTTAACAGAGGAATGGCAATTGCAGAAAGCAGGGTTTAAGGAGGCCCTATCTTAGAAGTTGACCCTTTGTTAAAATAGTTGTTGAAAATCCTGAAAGTATGATAGGTTTCAACAAGGAGAATTCAGATTATGGGAGGATGTAGTATTCTCTGCACACACACACACACAAAAGTTAATGTCTGTTAAAAATTGTAAGTTCAGTCTTTTGTATTTTAATATCTGCAAATTGTGCATATGAAAATTAGTTTGTTACTTAAAAATAAAACTGTACAAATACAGAAAGGTCCTTTTAGTGAAATTAAGATTTAAGCCTGAAATACAACTCACTTTCAAAGGTATTTTAGTATCTCTTTGTTTCTAAATCAATTTCATATAATTCTGGTGCCGAAACCTGTGATTCTTGAGCAGGTTCTTCTGTTACAGTTTTATCGCATGACCAGCAGCAGGCACGTGGTTCCTGAAGGGACAGGAGTTAGTGTTTAGTCTTGATTTTCTTGTTATGGGAAGGACGTGAGCCTGGAGGAGATTTCTGGATTTCGTTGGACCCTGGCTGGACTGCCAGTCTGGCTTCAATAACTCATTGCTCAATTGAGTGGTGAAGCTCTAGGAAGATTCTGTAATCTAGGGTAGAGGGAATTTTCAAGGTTTCTGCTCTAAGGGAAGATGTGGGAGATCTGTGCATGAGATTTGTATGAGGTTTTCATGAAAGTTGAAAGAATATTCCTTCAAGGCATGCTCTTGTATTTTTACTGTCTGTGTGTTTGGCAGGAGGGAGGAGTGTTCTTTATTTTTGTTGAAGGTTTTTAATTTCTTACATTAGAGTTCTTAAATAAGGACTGGTTTAAAACTAAAGAGAAAAGCAGGATTTTAAAGCAAGTTAATCTTGCCTTGCACTTGAGTTATTTGTAAAGAAAGATTGCTTTTTCATGTCAAACTGTAATTTGGTTGTTTTGGTTTTTAAAGGCAATATTTTATCTGAACATATGAAAATGATAGCGCCTGACATGCGTGCGTTCATTCATTCTGATGAGATGTTTTTTACTTTGTGTTACAAAATTGTGACTGACACTTCTAATTTACTAATTTTTAATTTGTGTTGACAGTCTAAAAATTTTATATTACATTTCTGTTATCTCTAATGTGCTGGATATGTAACGAAATATCTGGAGCGTTTTCTATTTAAATGGTATATTAACAAAAATATTTTCATTGTTTAATATGCTGAGTTTAATTTTTTTTTTTCTTGTCACCTCATCACTGTCATCAGGATTTTAGAACCAGTAGTATTAGTTGCTTCTACCTAGTTCCTATACATATATTCATGTGGAAAATAAGCTTTACTGGTCCTCCAGCTTCTAATCACTTTCCCAGCAATAAACAAATTGGTTAGAACCTGAACTGGGTGAGTAACCTGAAATGAAGGAAATAAATTCTACAGATGTAGACTTTTAAATCTCTCTGAAGTCCTAAGTGTCTGCTTTTCTTTAGCCACATGTGGAGAGCAGATTGCTAAAAGCCACACCTGACAAGGAAGAAAAGTTAAAAAAGGAGGAGACATCTGTTGCAGAAGACATTTGTTACTGGGAAGTAGAGATCTAAATCATTTCACTTTCATGTGCTGGTCATTTGGAAAATGACACAATCCATTGTCCTGATGGTTGCACAGTCCTTGTGTGATTTGGTCAGGCCATTAGCAAATTTTACAGTGTCTTCAAAACCAACATTTCTACATGAAATTTATTTCCTTTGAGGAAATGAAGTGTGTTGGTTTTTTTTTCCCCATCAAATTGATGGGAGGGTTGTATTCTATAGCTTGCAGTGTAATGCATCTGAAGAATACATGATATTCTGGGTGAGTAGAGAGGACAGGAAGTTTGCCAGAATGAAATGGTTGGGTAATTTACAGAGTAAAACATTAACGTGATTTTTTTTTCTTGTCTTTGGTATTTTTTTCTTTTCCAATGTTAGCAAGAAGGCTCATTGTGTGCTCAGCACTGTCTGAATAATTTGCTACAAGGGGAATATTTTAGTCCTGTTGAGTTATCCTCTATTGCACAGCAGTTGGATGAGGAAGAAAGAATGAGAATGGCAGAGGGAGGAGTTTCTAGTGAAGAATATAGAATGTTTTTACAGGTAAAATCTTCATAATTTGAGCTTGCTCGATATTCGCCCAAAATCTAATACTGTAAGTGCAGACCAGCTATTCCTGCATTCTTAGAGGTTGATTTCCTAGTGCTGAAACTTCTTAAACGTATAGGTCTTTTCATTCACGCATCTTGAATTCGCTATTTTCAAATGTTACTAGTACAGCTTTACAGTAATTCTGCAAAAAGCTATGTTATCTTCATCTTGCGGCTGGTAAGGTCAGGCACAGTGAGAAGGAGGATCACCAATTTACCTTTTTTTCTGTAAGGCAGTGGCAGAGAGAGGAACAGAAGTTCCCATGCCTGGCTGTCTTTTAAGCACTGAGCATTTATAATGTAAAGGGTTGAGTTGGTAATTAATAACCTTATTTGTGCATTTTAATCAGCCTTACAGAGTAGGACATATGTAGTTGTTACTTCATGTGTGGTTATGTTTATTTTGAAAACTGAATTATTTCTGACCTTTTATGCTTACATCATTTTCCCCTTTTCTCCCTCCCAACCTGGCACTGAGTAGCAGCCTTCTGTAAATATGGATGATAGTGGATTCTTCTCAATTCAGGTAAGCACAGCTCTGTACTGACACAATTTTTTATTTATGCAATACATGTTTTCTTATAATTTCAATAGCATCAAGTTTTTCCATCTGGTTTCCAGTTTATAGGCATAATGAGATTAAGTGCTGGACTTCTAAATCTTCAGAGTGTTTTCCATTAAGAGCAGTGACTTGCAGTTCCTCAGCTGATGGGCTCTTAAAGGCATGAGGGAAGCATGGACTTCTGAACTCTGAAAAGCCACCTGCTGGCAATAAGCTTCATTTCCGAGTGGCGTCTTATGGGCACTTCAGGTGTAGACCTTGGCTCCCATAGACTACAGATGACAAAGCAGGCGAGATTGTTTTCTCAGATTATAGACTGTAAAGCCCTTGGCGGTGGTTACAGGGTTACCACAGTGATCTGCAGAAGGGAAAAAGCTGCAATATCCACATTCCAGTTTTTGTAACACACTCCAGATGCTTTAGAGCTGTTTTTTGTTTCTGTTTAGGGGTTGTTCGTTTTTTTTAGGACCATAACATAAAAGTAATAAGAAATAATTAAATCAGAACAACAACGAAAAAGGACGTTGAACACATAATTGGGGCTTGTGTCTAGACTAGAGCTGAAGGCAGTGCTTTGCACCTTTTGGCTGTCTGCTGAGCTTTCAGAGGTGCGTGTCAGTGTTCCAGAATCCCTCAAGCACTGCTCTTCCTCACGGCAGGACAGGGCTGTGTTTCTGTGCCGTGAGAAACCATTAACAGTTTTGGCATGTCTTGTATTCTTGGTTGTGCTGCTTCAATATTGAAGCTGAAAAAAAAATGCTTCCTCATATTCTACTTTTTTTGCCCCGTCATTGTTTTACTCACTTGCTACACAGTTAGCTCACTAAAAGGAAGATGAATTGTTAATTTAAAATTTGTTACACGATTATTTAAGATACTGAAAGAGTTTGTGCTAATGTACCTGACTGATTCTGTGACAATCCAGTGGTATAAAATTTCCAGTAGTTACTGTGGGGAAGGATGCCAATGTATTGTGAAGGGAGGGGAGGGCAGGGAGATGACAAATCGGGAAGTATCTGTGGGAGGTGAAGTTACAGCTTTGTCTGGGAAAGGAAGCATAACATGACAGTTAAATCCAAGTTTTGTTACTTCCCCTTAGATAGAGTATGTGTGTTATGTAGATTCATGGCATTTTGAATAATGTGTTTCCTAGCAATGTTATGAAATCTAAGTTTTATGAAAACAGTGTAAGTATGTATAGCAGCTGAGATGGTTGCACTGCTTAAATTTAGATTTGACTGGTTTCACTCATGAAAAGTGCCATTTTTTGACAGGTTATAAGCAACGCCTTGAAAGTTTGGGGTTTAGAACTAATCCTCTTCAACAGCCCAGAGTATCAGAGGCTTGGGATTGACCCTATGTAAGACATTTTTTTCTTAGCACCCTGCTTTCACTTTATAGAAAATTGATAATTAATGATTTAAATCTTTCTTTAAAATTAGTTTCAAGCTCTTTTGCATTCTAATGTTTTGATTATCCCCTATCTTTAATTTTTTCATTTTGGGAGTGTATATGAGCATCTGTCCTCTGTGCCTTCACGATATCTCAGTATCTGTGGCATCACAGGTATGTGGAGATTTCAGTAATGTTGACAACTTCCTAGATGTTATAAAAGCGGTATGAGTATTCTGTAACACCAACAGTTGTATTACTGAAATTCTGTTATGTAATTTTAAATCAGTGATAGCAAAGAACTTAATCATTAATATGCATTCCAGTATTAGAGTATTTAATTTTATCTATACCTTTTGTCTTTCTTTTTACAGAAATGAAAAATCATTTATTTGTAATTACAAGGAACACTGGTTTACAGTTCGAAAGTTAGGAAAACAGGTGACATTGTCTTTTTTTTGTTTAAAAAATGACTTCAGAATGGAGGTGGAAAAGTCATTGCGAGTACACCATGTGTTGGCCTTTCGCAAGCTTTTGCTGCAATTTGTTTTAATAGTATCCCATATTTTAAAAGAAAAAAAAAAGGTAAATGTTGTTATATCACAAAAATGCCAGGCAGCTTTTTATGAATGCTAGTCTGGGGAAAGACCCTAGGATCACTTCTCCAGTGAACCTGTCATCTAGGGAGCTGGAGCTCTGGGTGATTCTGTGTAAGATCTTAAGCTCTCTTCGTTTTCTGCATGAAAAATAACAGAAAAATTGTATAGTGGGGGGAAGGGAAGAGTCAAGTCCTAGATAAGGATTAGGATCCTTATAGAATGCAAACTTATTTTAATGCACTATATTATTGGCATTGTAAAAATAATTCTGCTTGTTTGCATGGACAGTAGGTACAAGAAAAAGTTCAAAATTAACTGTGTTAATATTTATGATTGCTGGTATTCAAGAGTATCCATCAAGATAAGGTTGGGAAGAATAGAATCACATCTTTGCCCTATTTTAGATAACTTCCTGAAACAGTTGTATTATAAGCAGGAAATAGTTATTAAAGATAAGGGATGGCCATACAAGCATATGGTTCATATATAATAACTCATGTGACATCCATGTCCACCAACACCAGTGTGGTTTATTTCAGTAGCCAATCATTGTTCTGGATGCCACTGCATAAGGTTTTATACAACATGAGCTGGTTTGGTCTTTGGGTTTCTTTCAGCTTTTTTGTTGTCATAGACGGTGTTCATGAAACCACTTTTAGGTTCTGTAGTAGTGGGCAGAAATCTCTCCACCCATTCGGTTCATTTTCCAAGTGGTGGCTACCTAAGTTATCATCCAGATTAAAAAAAAAAAATCTGTGAGTAAACAAACTAAACTGCTGTTCTGCCTTAGTTCAAAAGTGTGGGTAATGTTTACAGGCAGTTCTTGTGTATTTGATATCCAGAAGGCTGAATGGTCTCTTAAAAATATGGGAATGTTCCTTTTTACATATACAACCACGCTGATGGAATTGTGAGATGGCATTCTAGCCCAAAATGTTTTAAGTTGGAGCAGGGATGTCTTTTGCTTGTACATGTGCCTTGTAGCCACAGGAAGACAGTTTTAGGCATCTGTTATCTAGAGACTAATGAGAACAGACAAAATAGGTTGACTTAGATTTGACGTGCTTCTCTTCTGTTACAGTTAAAGTAAAATGAGTTTACTAAACCTTGCTCCTCCATGTTCCCTTTCAAAAGTTTGTTTGTAATCTGTCCATCCATTTGTTTATGTAACCTTTTATTCCCCACTCCTACACTGTTGGTCACCAGCCTTTCCTAGTGGCAAAGGGTATTTTTGGCAAATGAAGTGACTGAACGGCAGAATGGTAGATAGTCACTGTATTCCAGGTGAATTATAGTATGGGCCTGACTGCGAGTGTATGACTTCATACATGAAAGTTTGGTAGATAAATGCATTTTTTGTGAGAACGGAGATAGTAGAAGGAGAATTGTATCTGAAATGGTCCTTCCTGGTTAAAATTGGATAATATTGAACAAGTGTGGTGTAAAAAAGGTTCTTCAGACTGATGGCAATATATATGGGATTTTAAAGGTAGAATATTTTGTTGTCCATGTTGAATATATTTTCTGTCTAGAAGAAGTATTATTAATGACTAGTTGTTGCCTTCAGGGATCTAGAAATTCTGTGTGTATTTATTTCAAGCATCCCCTGTTGCAATACTGTGCTGTACTATCAGCATATTACTTTTGAGTTCCTTTGTCTTAATTTTAAAATATAAAAATTATCTCAGAGAGAAGTAAATGATAGCTTTAAGCATCACCAGCTGTTATAAAGGCAGCATGTTTAATAGAAGCATTTCGTGGAAAGAATGCAACTTCTGTTTCCTGTATCTATTAATTTCTTAAGATACAGCATCAACTTATGAAAGGTTTCTTCCTTTGTAAGTCTCTGAACAGATTTGAAACCAGGATTAAGCAGAATTTTAGGATGATGTCTGAAATAATTCCTCTACCATTGTATTTTGATTTATCTGTTTCAATCTGTTTGCCTGGTACCAACGTTCAGTAATGGGAGAGAGCATGCGGTAATTTCCCCACTTCAGATCTCCTGTTAGCTGATGAACATTTGAAGGGTAACCTTTAGCAGTAGGTATGGTGCCTCAAAAGACTTTTAAATTGATCATTAATTTTACTAGATTTATTCGGATATTCCATCGTAGAAAATGACCACAATGTACAGAAATGGATTACCGAGTAATCTTTATGCTAATTTGTTCTCTCAACCCTTTTTTGTCTTAATTACAGTGGTTTAACTTGAACTCTCTCTTGATGGGTCCAGAACTAATATCAGATACATATCTTGCACTTTTCTTGGCTCAATTACAACAGGAAGGTAATAGTAACTTGCAGATGTTAAATCTCATTAATTAAAAGTAGGTAATAATCATTATTTATTAAAACTTATGTATTCAGTTAACTCCCCTTAGTTTTATGATTGAAATAGTGACATAACCCAAGTCCTTATAATGAAAGGTAGAGCCTTACATTGTAATAAATTGCACATCATTGTGTTCCATATCGTGTGCGTTCTGGAGTGTTTAAGTGTGCCCCTTAATGCTGTAGACTTATGATTTATTTTTCTCAGGTTATTCCATATTTGTGGTAAAAGGTGACCTGCCAGACTGTGAGGCTGATCAGCTACTGCAGATGATTCGGGTACAGCAGATGCAGCGACCAAAACTCATTGGCGAAGAGACAGCACAGTTGAGAGATCAGAGGTAAGGTAAAGAAAGACTCCACTTTAATAATGGGCAGTAGGGTTGGTTTCCATGATTAATACCTACATGGAGACAACCTGCTTAACATGTAATTAGAAGTACCTGTAGTGCAATACCCTTACTGATGTTGCACACAGTAAAAACAAGTTGGTAGAATACAAACTGTGAATTTTTAAGTGGGGAAAAACTACCTTAATAAGGATTCAGACTTTTGTTGCGTATAAGTGTTGTGTAGTGCAGATTTTGGACTTTGTGATTATAATGTTTTTAGGAAAAAGGGTTAGTAAATCTTACCAAACTGTCATTAATAGTAATCAGTCTATAATTAAGACTGCCTTGTGCATTTTGTGGTAAGTAGGAAAGAGCAAGAAATCCGTATCAGAATTCCACATCATATAAATCATACAGCATTGCCTTTTGGAATAATTTCACTGTAAATGTTGTGGAGCTGCTCTGTTGTGATGCATACTGCTAATATAAAACATCCTTGAAAGCATAAGTACTACTTCTGCAATAATTTTATCACATTTTCATAGTGAGCAATGTTGTACTGAGAAAAAGGCTTAAGGCTTTTCAGAGGGATTAGTTCATTATTAATTTGTTCCACTCTGTGAAGATGAACAGATTTTAAGAATAAAAATATGTTTTTTTCCAGAGTTAAAAAAAGGGTTAAACCAGCAGAAAATATTTACTTTAAATCTTAGAGTAAAAATAGTTTCTGTCTGAATTCTGCCATAAATGTTTCAATTTCACAGGCTACCCAGAAGCGATGTGGACCAAGCAATAGAAGTTAACCATCCTTTTGATGGAACAGGCATGTTAGATGAAGACGAAGAGAATTTTCAGAGAGCCCTGGCTCTAAGTAGGCAGGAAATTGACATGGAAGACGAAGAAGCTGATCTTCGCAGAGCCATTCAGCTCAGCATGCAAGGTGCAGTGCTCATCTAAATTTCTCTTACAGTGTTCAAGTTGCTTATGTGTTAGGCAGCTACTAAAATCAGTTTGTCAGCCACTTTTTCCAGCATGCGTCAAGCGCTCTGAAAAGACTGGCTTTGAGGGAGGGGGGGACAATCCAGAAATTCATGTAGCTATCTCCTTTCTGCTTTTTGAAAAGTTGTGACTTTTATGTTAGCATTGATCATTAGGAAGCAAGAACAAATTGGCAAAGGGTGGCAGGAGGGAAGGGAAACAGTCCTGAGGTGAGGAGGAGGGATAGTATCAAGTTAAGTTAGCCTGCTGCTTCCTTCAACAAGTCTCTTTCTTATTCTCAGGTTTCAAGACATTTTCTTAAGCGGTACTTGATTTCCTAGTTTAATTTTACTGCAGTTAGTAGGATATGGTGTGTTCTGGTTTTAGGTAGTCGTCGAACTGAGCTCTCTGACTCGTTACCACAGAATGTCCCTCAGTCACCTCACACCAGTCAGACAGACTCCCTTTCTTCAGAAGAGCTGCGGAGGAGAAGACAAGCCTATTTTGAAAAGTAAAGTAGCTGATAGAAAACTGCATGTGGAAGTACATGTCAACTTTTCAGCACTTTTGGGGTGTGGATGGGTTTCTAACTGAAGTCCATCTTGACTTTTAATATGTTTTCCTAATGGTACCCAAATTATGCTATTCCCAGGTGGTTCCTATGAAGAAAAGAAACCTGTAAATAAGAGGGGATCTGTTAGTAAGCCAACATCAGTCTTAGGAAGAAAGAAAACATACATGTTATAGAAGTATTTTAACTTAAATCCTGTAAAATTTCTGTAATTATTTTCCTGAAGAGAAGTATTCTTTTTGTAAGACACTGCTTCTGGTAATGATGCCTCTAATGTGCATCACATGAAAGCGTTCCAGGTGATATTATATGTTGCTGTTCTGGAGTACCTCTCTTAATACATAGCTGGGGTATTTTTGCAGGTTTTCCTTATTTCTGTCTTTAGTGTTGGAGGAAATAAAGACCAGGGAGAAATGATATGGATTAGACTTTACGTAAGAGGATAAGAATGCAGAACATCTGAATTCTGGGAAAACAGTAATGTGACTTGGAATATAATGTCGGGAAGATAAGTGTCTGAACATTAGCAGAGTGAAATGATTGAGTCGATCTTAGGTGCCAGGGTGTGTTACCATACCAAACAGCTTCTACTTCTCACTCTTGGCCTTCCTTACCATGAAATAGACTTGATACAGGTCTTGTACTGATGTTAATCTTATTCTTTTATACATTGATAACACTTTCAGGCAGCAACAACAGCAAGATCAGACCCTGAACCTACATGATAAGCCAAGTCTAAGCTCAAGCACTCCGAAAGCTGACCCAGGTATTGTTCCTTAAGCTCACTTCCAACACTGAGATATTTGTGTCTTTCACCTGTTGTGCTCTGTTTCCTAACTTTCCCTGTCTGCCCACTTCTTCACTCCAGCAGCCATTCAGACTGTATCACAGCCATTACTCTGTTAGGCAGGGAGGCAAAGGATGAGTGTCTTGAAAAGCCTGTTCTGCTTTGAATGTCAATATTCTGTTTCAAAGTGAAGAGCATTACTGTGAGACCATTTGAGTTCTGGCTTTGCTTTTTACTGTTTTGTTTGGCTCAAGTATTACAAATGTAACCTTTTATGGGATTTGTGCCAACAATTTGTTTTCTAATTTAGTTGTAAAGTTGCATGACAATATAATAAACTTGGAGTAATTACTGGAATTGTTTTTCAGTAGAACCTAAGTATGTAGAACCTGGCAGTATTGGTGATCCAAAGTCAATGTGTATTACCTGTTACAAACTGACTGTTGTGGAAAGCTAAAAAAAACCCAGGATTTGGGGGTGGGCTGGAAGCAGTGAGAGTGGACAAAGGGAACAAAGCATTGAACTGCAGTTGAGGACTAGTTCTGTGCATTTATTACAATTTATGCATTTATTTTCTTCAGGAGGTGATATGAGTGAAGAAGACATGCTGCAAGCAGCCATGAATATGTCTCTGGAATCTGTCAGAAACCACTTGAATACAGAAGAGGAGAAATGACAAAACTTTTTTTCGCCCCCCTGTTCTTGTCAAAACACTAAGTATCTGTTATAATTTTACTGTGTGGATGTTGCACAAGCAGGGGTCATTTCAGAGTTCTGGAAGCAGTAATGAAAGGGAGGCTGGCGGTCAGAGTTCAGAGGGAATCTGCAAATACAAAAGATTGCACTAATTTAGGAAACCGTAGCACTCCTAGTATAGAACATCAGTTCACAAGAGTAGCTGTACTAAAATTACTTAAACTGTTCACATGAACAAAAAGTTAGACATCTGAAGCAGCTCTAGATGCATTTAAAAAGTAAGTTTAAATTGTTCTGAAGAATTCTAAAGGTGCTGAAAACCAGCATCATCTGATTTCCTTCAGTACAAATAGAGAAACAGATACAAGTAATAAGTTGTGTTCATAAAGTTTTTTATAAGAAATGGCTTAAAATGGGAAAAAAAGAATTCTCTGTATCTTAGATAACTTATTTTGATTGTTTATTCTGAGTGACTTACTGTCAGCTTTTTGATCCTGCTGCCCACTTTCGAAATGACCCATTCTGCAGGAGAAACATGAATCCATAAATTTTATACGCTGCAATTCAGTAGAAAATCTTCAGTGTATTATTGACTATGATGTTACTCTTGCATCTTTCAGTGACTTCTGACCTAACGGTTTCTGGTTTTACTTTCAGTTCCAACGACAAAATTTTCAGATCCGTGTTTAAAGTAGGATTTTTGCATTGCCCTGTTGTCTTTTGGCAGATAACTTGCCTTCATTGGTTTGCTTGGGTTTGTTGTTTGTGGGATTTTTTTCTGTTTTCTTACACTTTCTTTCTAGGTATGCCACTGTCTTTACTATAAAAGGAGCATGTAATCAGTTGAGTTAAACAGGTTTTCTACCTCTTCTGGAGTGTTTTTTCCTCTTCAAGCTCAAAACTTCATTCTGGGCTTTCAGTGTGAAAGAAGGGTAACTTTCTAGGAGTAAGGAGGAGGGGATTTAGGTGCCATAAAGTCTGTGCCACACACATAAGGTGCATTCCTTTAAATGACCCCTGTGCAAGTAGTTCTTCTAAGAATGAATGAATGTGCAAGTAGTTCTTCTAAGAATAAATATTCTAAGAATGAATATTTATGTCTGTGTGGATGTTCTTTCTGAAATGCTTTTTATGAGTGTCTGTCAGAATGTTGCAGCTTTTTCAGGAATGGCCTTTATTCATGCACCTTACAATTTTTTAGTCATGCTGTTTCTGATCCTGAGAAAAATTGGGGAGCAAAGTATGTGAGACAGCTTATTGTATCGGGTGTAAGGCACTGGCTTTGATATCCAGGATGAATGTTAACAGGGTGACCAAACCTGACTTTCAACTTCAGTGCAACAATTGAAATATGTTTAATTTTCCTAAATGGTGCTTGAAATACAAATTCTGTTTACATATATATTATATGGAAATGCATTGTAGATAAGAGTATGTAAGCTATAGTCCACTTAATGCATTAACAGTTAGCACAGGCATTCTAAGAATCTTTTGAAGGTAACCCCAAATTTCTTCATCAAAATATTCTAAAGTTACACCATTGCATAATAGTAACAGTTAAAATTAGTATGAAATGAATGGTAGGTAGATGGAAATACACATTCAGCATCAAGTAGTACTGTACTTGAAAGGGCTCTTACCTCTCAGTAAAGATTTGTTTACAGCAGTGGTTTCTTGATAGCTTAGGTTATTATTATATTATGCATAATTGGGCTAAATTCTGCTTTCCTTACCTCTGTGCTGAATTTCCACCAATGTCACCAGAACCACTGGTATATTTATCTAAGACAATATGGATTTTGACATGAGACAGCACTACTTTTTAAAAAATTATTTTAAATTTTGTCTTTTTTAAAGAATCCTGTCATGCACATTGTAACTAATATCTGTAGCTTCTCTAATGCAGCTAAGCAATGGCTTTAGAAGTTGTATGTGTGCATATGCCATTTTGAAATGCTATATGTTTCAGGATGTAAATTTCTGCTTTCAGTTTAAACTTTCGGTGAAGCTGAAAACAGGAAGGGAATCTCTAAAGCACTGAATTATTCCTTTGCTCATCTGTAAATTATCCACGGCTTTAATTTCCCTCCTTTTGTTGTGCCATAAACTGATTCTGAAATAAGACTTCCATTTTTCTAAATAGGTATAGGCTGGCAATTTGATACCGGAACTTGGACCTTTTATCCTCTATTGTAAGAATATAATAAAAATGTATTATTTCTATAGCTATATAGAGTAGTAGCCCTATATAAAACAAAAATTAAAAAAATCTGTGCCCCTTGAATTGCATTAACTGTAACCCCTGACAATTACATGGTTTTGTAATTACTAAAGCATGGAGGTTTTTCGTGTCATTTTCAGTTACTTCATCACCCAAGTGTTTTAATATGTAGAGAATATAAAGTAACAGTGCCTGAAAAGCAGAACTGTGTCAATCATTACAGGGCTAACCGTATTTTTATCTGTGTAGAAACACTGTCACTGTACAAATACCACTTTGATTTTTCAGAGGAATGTCAAGCTCAGTGAAGTAGGCGTACCTTAGCCAAACAGTTAAGAGGTAGCAGTTTCAGCTACGTATGTTAATTGCAGCAAAGGAAAAGCCTAATGCTGACTGCTGACAGGATGTGTTTTATAACCCTGAGCTAAAGTTCAGAATGCGTGGACCTGCAAAGAAACTGTCAATAAAAAGCCAGTCTCATTTTTTTTTTGGTGTGTATTCTTTCAGTTCTCAACGTGGCTGGACTATGCTCGTAAGGCGTTTAACCTGTTCCTAGTGTTACCTGTTCTGCCAGGCTGAAGGGTGGGGTTTTTTCCCACGTTGTAGCTTTAGGTCAAAGTCCATGGTAATGGAGCAGATCTTGATTATTTTCTTTTTTAATTACAGTATGCTATTTGAGGGAATTTCAGACTTCATCAAACAGATTTTTACTGTCTTCCTCCCAGTGAACACTCCATATGACATCATCTGTGTTTTTCTGCCTAAAGAAATCCATGGTATATGGGGAATGAGCGATACCTACATTAAATATCTTCCAAAAGTAGTTCTGTAAACTGCTTTCAGAGTCTTGGAATGAGGGCAGGAGGAAAAAGTGTTGTAATGGAGTCAAGCCTGAATGTAATACTTGTCAGGCACAGCAGGTATAAATACGAGAAATGCCCACATTTTTCTGGGCTTGAAACTAATCTGACACAATACTGTCTTACACTCCAACATTTGGGCTCCTTGTGCCCTTCAAACCAATTCAGCAAATCTAAGTGTAATTTTCAGCAAATGTACTACTTTTCCTTCTTAACTACTCTGCAGACTACTTAAAAATAACCAAAACTCAGTTAAATCTCCGGTGTGATTTAATGTTGGACTATTGATTCTACTACAAATCTGTAAAATTCTGCCGAGTTTAAAATAGCTTCTGCACATGTCTAGTATACAATCCTATTTCTGCATCTCAGACCAACACTGTCATTTGCAAGCTGCTTTGTTTTCTTACAAAACTGACTAGGCTTTTAAAAATTAACAAGAACATGTTACAGTTCTAAAATGTCTGTGAATTTTTCAACAATTTAGTTATTGTTTCAAACTTAATGACGAAAATGTGCAAATGGTGGCCTTTTTACTGAGGAATATAATGGGGAATGGGATTGGAGAACTCTAGAACTCAGACTTACTAAGAACTATTATTCTACAGCTCATGTCACCAGCACATACTTGTAAAGGAATTGAAAAAAGAATCCAAAGAAAAGAAAAGTTGAAGTGGAAACTACTTTAAGGGCTTAGATACGAAATTACTGTCTTGCAGAAAACAAAGTTAACTCCTGGGAAATCTTCATAATTACACCAATAATTAAAAATAAAATTAACAGGTAGTACATATATACCCATTCCCCACATACATAATCAGTTGTTTGAGTCAGAACCATACTTCATGTTAATACATTGGGATGCACCCGGTCCAGATACTCACTACTTCTGTTTTAAATCAGTAGCTTCTTCATGTTGTACCTGGGTTTGCATCTGACAAGGATAAGCTGGTTTGCAATAAACTTTTAACCTGCATGCACACGTTTTGCCCTATTTGCATTTCAGACATGGAAGAATGCTTTAGGGTTTAGCCTGCTGTAGTCACCTCCTTCCCCAGTTACAGTTCTTCAGAATGTTCAAGTACATGGGACTTTTCAGCTACTCTTACCAAATCAAAATGTTTTAACTTTCTTTTCTTTGTTAAGAAAAGAAAATTGTTACTATGCTTAGATGAATTTTTTTTTTTTTTTAAAACTTCCCCAAGTATAGCCCCTGTGTGAATTCAGGAAAGGAAACTTGTAAAAGGGTTTGAACAGAGAGGGATGTAATATTTAAATACCACTGCACAAAAAAGAATAATTTTTCTGTTTTCTTTAAAGCATGCAAGAATTGGTAAAATACATTTTTTTCCTATATGAAAGTCCATGTGTACAAAACAGCGTAGAGTTAGGATTTTGTGAGGGAGTAATTTTTTTCATCTCTTGCCTAATAGTTGCGTATTTTAGAAAACATTTTCAGTAATAGATTTTTTTTTTGTCTTGAGACTGCTTTTAGTATCATGTCTTTGGCTCTGGATTCCTATACAATTTTTGTCTCCATTTTGTGTATAAAAAGCATATACTACTGGAAAGATTAAAAAAAGGAAAGCTGAAATTGTCATTGTTTTGACTGGAAAATGGCAGTGCCGTCTGATATTTTGAAAACACTCTCCAAATAGGCACGAATATATATGGTTGTATTTGATACCACTTTTTAAAATAAATATGATTATAGCTTCTAACGTTTCTCTCTTGACCTGAGTATTTGCCATTTGTGCTTTCCCTTATATGTGGATTGGGCACAGAATCATCCAACATACAGTATCTTTGATATCTTTGCACCAGATGCTAACAGTGGGCTAATTTTCTGTCACTCATAACTGACATTTTATCATCTCTGATGTCTTTTCATCTGTTGAT